CATTACTTTGGCAAAACTGTAGGCTAGATGACCAGCAAAGTCAACGCAAAATCCGATAGACATTACAATTGTCACCATACTGACGAAGTCCAGTCAAACATCCCATAAAGTCATAAAGCCAAGAATGCCAATGTTGATCGATAAAATGGAGAACGACACCTGCAAAAAGTTTGTTAGGGTAGTAGTTGACTATGAGTAGTTACTTCACATGAATTGTGAAGTTTTACAAAGAGTTAAAGAGAAAGAGAGTTAGAGAAAAGGAGAAGGACAGATTACTTGAATCAAAGCTACGAAGTAACTTTTACCCATAAGCTAGTCACTGGTTCTGGGATGAGAAGAAGAGGGACCACTATAACGGCAGTGGCTGCGTATGCGATTGACGACAATGTTCCTGGCAAGATTGCGTTAGACTGTTCTGCAATCTGAAAAGTAATAGGAGATTGAAAAGAACATGCTTAGAGCTGTTTGTCTGACAAAATTTTCAAATCTTCAACAGAAAATTGCTAAATACTATTGAATAATTGCACTCTCATATACAGGCTCCTATAATGTGAAGTTTTACTTTCATCTCATTAGCATGAAGTACCTCCTGGTTTTTTCATCACTAGGAACATTTGTGTATGTGTGTTTGTCATGTGTCATTGTGTCTAGTGTCATTTGCCTACCGTATTGAATGAATCAATGAATTTCTCGTCGCTGTGCCTCTAACTTATTTTGGCCAACGTGCCCTCTACCACGTTTAGGTCATGTTGGATGGGATCAGTTATCTTTGTGAGAGGTGCACTAAAATTATCTGCGCAGTTATTGCAAAAAAAAAAACAATGTAGAGGAAAATAATGCCTCAATCCATGCCGACCATCAAATACCGCCACGTAAGAGTGAGCGTCATTGTTCCGGCGTCTAAGTCATTGAAGTGCCATGAACCGTATTTTTTTAATTTTTGTTAGATTTGGAGCATGCGGTTCAATTCTTACAGCAAAGATCCTAACGGGACCAAGGAAGGATTGAGCCGCTCTCAAAATATTGAAATTTTTTCTTTGTGTTCATTGGAAGTAAGAGGCACATGATGTGATACTAATATTTGTGGCTAGCGAGACAACAAAAGCTGTGTGTACCAATACTTGAGAAGGATGGAGCCGATCAATAGTCCAATCGGCAGCTTCCACATGTGAAGCTGTGTATTAGTGTTATCTCGTTCTTGCTTAGCAAATCAAAGTATGAAAATATCATGACCTGGAAAAAATCGGAATATACTCCTGTAGGAAGCTCGCTGATGTCGGCTAGTTTTCTGAATAACTGCATTGCTTGACTCCGATTCTCACAGCCAATCTCGCGTAATCGTATAGTAGCACGCGACACATCCAACATAGAACCACTCTCGTCAAAAATTATGTCACTAAAGGAGCAATTCTCTTCTAACTGATTCTAATTAACTAATTAATTCTCTTCTAATTAAAGCTTTGATAACGTCGTTAGTCGACTGCTGGAACACAGTTCACAAAAACATTTTAAGTCTTCCCAGGCCTTGAGCGCTATTTTAATTGAACAACTTGCCACAAACAGACGAGTGATCAAGCGACTGCTAGTCATTGTACAGAGCTGAAGAAAGTTGCATGAGGCAAACTTTAAAATGGAATCTAAAATGTGCATACCTGTGTGGATGAAGCGCCACGACAACTATCATTGGCGTTGAAAAATTAAAAGTGATTAAGTGCCCCTGTTGTGTGGTCATCATCAAAAGCGCCAAAAATTAATGCGATTGGCTTATTTAACATCTTCACTTCAGCGCTATAAAAGTTGTGGCTGTGAAATCAACCAAAAATCATTTGTCTCTAGAAGCACCTGAGATGGTAGCCAACGTGGAGTTGCGCACGCTATGATGCTAGGAATATTCCGCATCTCGCAAATGAAAGAAACGATCCGAAGTTCTGAGCTACGTAACGATCAAAAATCAGAGACGCCGTTCTGCGCGTCAGGTTATTGAAAATTAGGTGGGCCGGATAAGAATGTCTCTGAATGACGATCGGTGCATAAGAATCGCTTACGACTTGATTTTCAAATGTCAAACTGGTCAGAGCCTGTAAGAGAACTTTGGATGAAAATCATGATACTCAACGAGCTCGTAGAGCGAGGAGATTTCGTCGAACTACGATGCAATAAGGAAAAATAGAAGATTCATTGAAAACAGTTTGAGTTACATGACGATTAATGAGACTGGGGGTGGCACAGGGATGTTTATAATTTCAATCATAAATCATCACTCACCGTCGATATCTCTCAAAATTTGGTTGTGCTAAGAAATATTTGACTGTGACGACGAAGTTCTCTTCGGTAATCAACAAGTCGGACTGGTCCATGAATGCCAAGTAGGTATGAATCATAAAGAGATCACATTTCTTCAAACAAAACGACCTTTTATTGTGAATGTAAGTGTCATTTTCACACTAAGTTAATAATGACTTTAGAATGAACTGAGATGGTAAAAAAGTTTTTGAGTTTGAACGAATAATTTTTAGCGAGAGAAAAAGCATAGAAACTCCTAAGCAATGTCAATTTGCAACCGAAAATTTATTTTGACGCTTCTCTTTTATAGGAAACAAATATATCCTCAAATTCGATGATCGAGCAAGTAATTTGATCTCTCTCCACCATTACATCCTTCAGAAAGAACAAAAGGTAAATTTGGTGACAAACTTGTCTGCAACAGGCTTACTCATCCCAATCCATGTGGGAACGCGCTATCACAGCTTCGGGACAGCAGAAAGATTTGACCCGACCAGCGGCATTTGAGATGAAAACGACGAATCGTCAAGCAGCATCACAAGTTATTAGCCAAAGATTTCAAAGACCTTTTGAATGGTGGAAACGAGGGAACGAATTCAATGCGACAAGTAGTGGACTCCGTATAGTGATACTAATGTCGGGTTAAGCTACAAAATAATCTAAATGGACATGGATTTTCAATGTATAAATCTTCCTTTTCTCTATGAAATTGTTAAATTCCCTAGAATTAAAAATTTCTCAAAATTTTCGACACTCTTAATTTTTGACTTGCGTGGATTCGAATCAATTCTACTTGCCATGAATCACCTCCACGAGTGAACTCGGTGTGCTCGTAGATTTCAATTTCCCTTTTCAGTACTACCCATAATCTTTCTGGCCTGACATCTATTTTGACAGATTATACATCCACACATGTAAACTGCTACCATGATCTAAATTTTTAGGCTTGAATCTGTAGTGAGTCGTCGAAAAAGAGTAAAACAATCTCAATCAATGTACCAGGAAAATATTTAAGAGTTAGTCGTAGAGTTTCTTTTCCGTACGAGTGTTCGGGTAGTATTTCGTCAAATTCGAAACCGAGTTTCACCTTTGTGCAACTCCAAATTGCAATTATCTGAAATTTTGCTATATAAACCTAATGATTTTTTGTTCTAATGCTTTGGTTTTTTGCTTAGCACGTGCTCACATTCATAAGCATCGTAAGCAATGAAGTCATTTGGTTTCGTCATGAAAGCTTTGATGTACTATGTGAGTCATTCGTAGAGTCGCTCATATTGGACTGGATCTATGGTAATGGCAAGCTCGAAAATATTGTGGTTCGAATTGCTGGTCTATAATGACTCACTTTTGATAAGCAAACGCAAGGCTTTCATTTCCCTTTTTACTCACACAACTTGACGTTTCCACATCTCCACCTTTTTCAATAGGTTAGGGAAAAAGTTCTGAGAAAATGCTCGTAACTTTTTTGGGTATCCACCATTTTTTGTGTTTTTAGGGTCATTTGAAAGCCCGTCTTCTTCCGCGTTGATTGGTATATAATTTACCTACTTATTTCAGAAAAAAGTTATAAAGCGAGCAAATCAGGTTGTTGATGATGCACAAATGGCTGTTGGGGTTCAAATGCAGCGGTGGCAAGTGAACAAGTAGATAAGATAGATAGATAGAATAGACAGATAGGTAGATCGCAGATAGATAGCAAGTAAGTAGATAAGTTATATACCATTCAACACGGGAAATGACGGGCTTTCAAATAAGCCCAAAAACATAGAAAATGTCCTGCATTCAAAAAAGTCAGAAGCATTTTCTCAGAACTACTTCCCTAGCCCATTAGAATTTGGGATGGGCAAGTTGACTGCAACCTGGACAATCAAATACCTCTATAACCAGCAGGAAGATCACGTTTGAGCTCACTGCTAATGAAACGACTAATCCACATATTGGATTGCCGTTGCATCTTTGTCACAACAAAAAAGTTTTGCATATTGTTCCATATCACATGTGGCTGCGAGGCATCCCTCCCTGGCCTTCATTTTTGTACTCTTTGAATTTATCCAGAATATTTGGAGAGCCTTATGAACCAAAAGATTTTCCTGCACTGTTCGTTGTGTTATATGCGAGCCAAGTGGAGTACTTACTTCAGTTCTATGTTTGGGGAATGTATAATTTCAACACGGGCGCAAAATGGTCTACTAGTTACGGCAATGTATTCCTCAACGCTTCACCAGAGATTGGACATGGTACCCAAACTTCTTCACTCATTGTTCTAACCTTAAAGACATATCATGAAATTCTGCTTTGTGCAATATACACTCGTACGTGATACAGGTTATATATAATACTTTGAAATTATGGTATTTCTACTGCTTTTTTCGCAGTGTTATGATGTTACTTATATAACTAAGAGAATTGAGTGGCGAGCAAAAACACGGCCTCACGCGGGAATCGAACCCGCGTTTCATCCTATCCGAGGACGCGTGCTCTACCACTACACCACCAAGGCACATTTGCCCGACTTACTCATTCTTCAACATCTCTATGTTAGCTAACAGCCGCCAACCTTCAACAGGTTTGGTCGGATATGCGATTTCGCGTTCATAAATCCCGCTAAACTGACAGCCTCTGTTATATATGATACTTTGAAATTATAGTACTTCTACTGCTTTTGGTGGCTGATAGCTAACATAGAGATGTTGAAGAATGAGTGGTCGGGCAAATGTGCCTCGGTGGTGTAGTGGTAGAGCACGCGTCCCCCGCATTGAATAAAACGCGGGTTCGATTCCCGTCTGAGGCCATGTTTTTTGCTCACCACTTAAATCTCTTAGTGATACAGGTTGATTGGCCAGTTGAAGATTTTTTTTTTAACTAGGTTGCAGTCAATTTGACCATTGCAGGTTTCGAAAAAGGCAAAACCGGTGGATTGTCAGCTTTAGTGATTAAAAAGGACAACAAAAGCACTGTGTTTGTTTAAAAATTACACAAAAAAACAGTGAATTACTGGACAGTGCTGAAATTATAGATTTCCGGTCCTGAAAATTGCTAGTTCCGATTACTGTCAAGATATGTAGGTGGAACTCGTTGCCACCTGATGCTGACTCAATTGGTTGCTTTAAATGAGTGTGTAGTCATCACTTCCCTGAGTTTGCATATCAAAAGGAAAGCTAATAAAGCAATAAGTAAATAATAAAAATCAACCAGGTAACAGAGGTAAGCAGCAATGACGAATGAGCGTACGAATGGTTTCAGCAGACAATTGGCGTAAGTGGTGCGGAAAAATTGCGATAGCGTGTGGTTCTTCTCAAAACTGCAGTCCTTGTTGGGCTTCTTGAGTTGATCTGAAAATTTGATTCCATGATGAGACCAGTCGAGTCTTTATCACTTTTCCTAACTATTAAGATTAAAGTCACTTGTACTCTTGCTCATTATTTAGTAACTTATGATTGTGCTAAGTGTCCACGTATCTCCAATGTCCTGACAGTAAGCCTCGTCGAGCAAAAACTTAAGGACAACCATAATTCTTTTTCATTCCAACTAAGAAGTGCGACTGTCTATTAGTTGAATTATTGTTCCGCAATTGGCATCGCAAACAAACCAGTCCTATAGAATGCTTGTCCTCGCGCTGTCATTTGGACGCCTCACCCTCTAGGTCACGTGGTTTTTATTAGGAATTGTAGCCTATGTGTTGCACCATCTGATTTCTAATTGTCGAATTCGGATTTCTCGTCCTCTTGCTTTACAAGGCACAGCTTTAAGATCGCTTTTACGATAGTGTGCTCCATTAGGCGGAGCTATTTCTGTAATGCTTAACTAGGAATTTCTGACTCGTACGTTAAGACGCCATGAATTGCTGAGTTGAAATGATGGGCCCTCGGTTGACCGTTCCTTGCATTTCTCATTACATACCTAATAACTTTGAAGTCACACACCTCGAGATCTTTCCTGCTTAGTTTCGGTGATTGGATTTCCATCAGTTTCACTTCTGAACTTAAGTACACACGGATGAATCACTTAGAGACCTTCGTTCAATTGAGCGCGAATGCTCTTATCAGAAAAAAAATACATTACTTGTGTACGTTGTGTTTCCAAGATTCAGTTGATGACCATTCTTTTCAAAATCACGTAGAATGATCACGATTCGCACCGCCAACTGATGTTATTGAACAATGCCATTTATCAAGTTAATATCATTACTGCTTTACCTGAAGCTATATCTGTTGCAGTCTATGCATCCCAACACTTTCTATCTACGGTTTGTTTCCGACATCCCAATGCATGAAGGCCTCAAAAAATTTTTCCGATTAGTTCCGGCTGTTACCAGAAAAATTATTTGTTTTCATGAATATCAGAATGATGGACGGTAATTTTCTCTTTGCATAGTCTGCTAAAGCGTTTCCAAGTGTATTAGAGGAATGCGCCTGTTCCAGACAATTACTGTAGCGATTTCTTGGCCTCACCAGAGACGTTTAGTGGGCTTCGAAAATGATCGAGTCAGGCCTCAAGAGGTTGAGCTGCTTGCGTACGAACGAGATTATTACCATCGTGCTACCCGATTTTGATCGATGTAATATCAACGCATTCGAGTCAATATGAAATCCGTAGCGTTTATAACGGTCTGGACCTTTCACAAGCACGTGCATTGATTATGCTATACGCAACGATTCAGTGGCCTAAACATTGGCCTTTAGTTCTGTGTGTATAGTGATACAAATAGAGCTCCTGTTTCAAGAACAAAAAGTATCTTCTTGATTATTCCGGACGTGCCATCACCATTCAGCCACTGCTAGGGGATTTTTTGAGAAAGTAAGAAAAAATTTCTCAGCCGCGTTCGCCTGTTTCTCAGAATGGTCGAACTGCACAAGCTGACACTCCGTGTTTAAGCTTACTTATGGAACTACTCAGAGTCAAATGCGGTTCCTCAACACCATAACGAAAAATGTTGTAAGAATTCGTGCAGATTTTACAGTATTCCTAAATCTGGTCACTAGATACCATAACGTGCATTGGTTAGAACCTAAATAAAACTTCTGTAATCTACCGCCCATGTTTATTCATAAACTTATTTCGGAATCATGCACTGTGTTATATTGTTGGCAACGATTTATGCAGAAAACCAAAGAAAACATGGTGAATTTAGCAAAAAAGTAACTTACTTGTTTTGCTTTTGATTTTGCGGAATGTGAGGCAGTTTCGACCATCCACTTCTCTTTTGTTTGTGTACACCATAATGCCGGCAAAGAATGTGAGCTGATAGACGTAAGTGAACACCATCGCTGTCAACGCATAAGCACAGAACATCTGCAAAACACCATGCTGAGTACTTTTGCTATATGATTCACGCACAACATGTATAAACTCACAGAAGCAAGAACTTATTCTCAATACTCAGTAAATAACGCTCAAACCATTTTACATAAACATGCTGCGCATTTTTGCCACGTAACAATCACGGCCGGTTTGCCACCTACCGTTAACACAGTTACGAAGACAATTATTTGAGAGAGTCTATATAAATCCAAGTTTCTTGAGCAAAAGATGAACAGTAGGGAAGTTACCTACAACATAATGGAATTACCGTCGACTAAGCAGGAACTTTCCGGGTAGGGACGAATTAAAACTTTGAGATACAAAATAAATTATCTAACCTTCACGCTCGGAAATGAAGTGGCACATCCAACGCCGAATGAGATAATGTCGGTCAATGAGGTGACGGTGATGGAGACTCCTGCGTCGGCAAACGTCTTCTTCATGCGCTGCTCAAGTGACGAATGAGAAGGGGTTGAACGCCAAGCCGACAGAAATATGAAGACGTTATCGACGCCAACTGCTGGAATATTTAGTACAATCTTTTGTGGCAAATTGAAATGAAAGATGATATTTTATGATTTCAAGAAAAGTTTGCGTAGAAGAACTCTGGACTCTTTTTAGTAGTAGACTCTTCTTCTTGGGATTTTGTATGCCCAGTAAGTTGATTCGACATGTTGAATATAAAAGCATTATGATTTGCACAGACTATTCTTATCTCATATAAAAAAGTCCTTGTTGAAAAGTGAATACCCTCTAATTCTTCGAGGAAAACACAGTATTACTCTCTTTCTAACAGGTGTCTCTCAAATAGGGTGATTTGATTCTATAGGTATGATGGAAATATCTTGCGAACTATTCCTCATCAGTCTTCAACCTATCTACATCTAGTCGTGCTTTCTATTAGTCTATTGTTGATATGATGGCTTCTTCTCATTAATTTTATGAGACATTTTTAAAATAGCGTCAGCAATAATGTCGCATACCCATCAAGGCACTCATGCGTCAAGATAAACACTCGATTGCTTGAATAGAACTTTGAGTCAATTTCGCGCAACAGTGACAAAGAACCTCTGAGTCCGCATCCCACTTAGAAAGACGGATGGTCACTCCTTTTTGACCTTTTTTATAATTCTGGAAGAAACTTTTCGCATTGGCGAGATCAATGCATTAACGTATGTAAAAGGCTTTAACATCTTTTGCGCATTCGTATAAACACAATAAGGTAGCTTTTATAATTATTTACATGCGTAATGTTTTGAAGTAATGCTGTCTTATCTTACGCGGCCTTCACATAGCTCACCAAACTACCTCACTACTTCACTGAAGGGGCGTGGGTCACTGACGAGGAAGGCGAGACCTGTGAAACGCGCGTGTATGGCCTTGGCGTACCAACCTCGCTTAGGCATTAAACATTCTTTTTTGAAATTATTCTGAATGTTTTTTGTGAGGTTTATAAACAGTCAATGCTATGGATCAATTTTGTTCTACCAGCCGAGATCCATCGACTAAAAAGTGTTGATGGACCAGTGTCATTGTACACTGTTCCGTCACCACATACGCCTCCCCCCTTGCTACAATGCAGGATTTAATGTGGGGCGTGGACCACTGACGATGAGAGCGAGACCTCCAAAACACCGGTGTATGGCCCTGGCGTACCAGGTTTGCCTAAGCTTTAAACGTTCATTTTCGAAATTCACTGAAGGTAGCAGAATTATAAAATTAGAAACAGTCATATAAGCTTAGTAAGCTATGTGGCACTAAAGATGGGTGTAGAGTCATATATTACTGTATTGCTGTTCCAATGAATAAATACATGGTAGAATGAATATCTAAAGTACTATAACTATTACTTTATACGACTGCTTCGACCTCTGAATGGTTTATCTTCACGAGGACTCGCAAGATTCCTTTCGCCTTTATCTCATTAGCCCACGTAGATATATTAAAAACTTCCTTTCTTTAAGACTCGAGATGATTTTCAGCGGTTTCCCGGAATCGCGACAATAGGCAAGCGATGTTCACATGGTACACAGAGGAGCTTTCTATCCTACGATTGAGTTTATAGCAAGAATGGCTTCGATGGTTCGAATTTATTTACAACTAATGTGATTATATGATGAAACTGATGTTGGTAGCTCTAAGAATAGCCAAGCTCAACGCCATTCTCACATTCAAATCCCATAGCCCTAAAAATTTTGGAGAGCTCATGTTACTAAATTGGGCATCAACGTTTTTTTGGATATCAATTGCAATGAAATTTCGTCCTTTTAACCACGAAAATCCACAGATTAGATTAACTAGAAGTTTTAGGTACTGGGATACGAACAGAATTGCAGATAAAAGCGTTTTAAATGCTCTACAACTTTACTTTTGATCCATCTTACAGAGTATTTTTCACTGCTAGGATCCAGTACTCCTAGCATTCAGTTCTTTTTTCTTCGCCTTTTCCTCAAACAGCGTAGAATAATGCTTGAGGACGTCCCTTTGCAG